AAATTATCCTTAGCATCTAAAATAAATGATGCATTTTCTGAAATACATTCTAGAAAAAAATATGCCAAGTACATCATAACCATTCTTTCTGAACACCCCAATTAAATGTGTATTTATTGTTTAACCACAATGAAAGAATCAACACAAAAATGGCCACACATAATTTAGAAAAGCATAACATGTTCTAAGGATGCACTGAGGTACCCTCTCCCCAAGAAACAAAAACAACAATAACTACACAAACTAATAAATATATTCAAGCAAAAACAGGAAAAGTGTTTGTTACAAAGAATAAGTAGTTTTAATAAAACTAATATAACATTAATTTCTGCCTTTCAAAAAAAATGCTATTTTCAAAATATAAATATTTTAGGTTGGCTTTGCTCAATAATATATATATTTCTTGTAAAATAATGATATTATGTCAAAGATGACAAACAATAATTCTTTTATATTTGAGCATACGTAAGACTGGATAATGGTGATTTAGAAGGTTTTGATATCATTATACAGGTACTTTGTGCGTATATGTGTACAAGGAAACTTAAACATAATACTAATTTTTCTTTCACTCTCTATGAAGGGGAAAAATACATTTTTCTTCCTTGTCACTACTTTTATGTTTAATTGTACAAAAATGTTTAAAAGATCACTTTTATCTTTATGAAAAATTTTAAAGGAATCACAATCCTTGTATATGTATATATAACCAACTATCTTTAACCTATTCAGATACATGAAATAAAAAGTACTAACCACTGACATCACACTTGCGGAGTCCGAGATACCTGAAGCCCCTTTCTGTAGCAAAGATAATAAATATAAACCTCCCTGGTCTGACACACAGACCAGTTGCAAACATTTGACATAACATCCACTTATTGCAAAATAAGTAAAAACTAAAAATAGATACTATTTTTGTTAACATTTCAGTGCACAATTAAATATGGTTCAAGCTTGAAGCAAATATAGCATGTGTGAACAATTACAACATACCAGATTTTATAAATTATAAAGTAAATAAATACCAAGGCTTGAAAAACTCAAAATTAATCAAAGGTTTGTCTATAATAGCTTTGATTCTGTTTGTAAATATCAGCATTTAATAATTTTCTTTAAATTTACATAAAAATTACACGAAATCACTGTGATTAACTTCACTTCTTAAGAGATTAAAATGCACATTCAAAAACTACTTAAAATATATTCAATGTAAATGATACAAAAAATAACTACATAACTCATAAAAGCACCTTTTCTTTTACTACTATTAAACACAACATTAACTTAGTCTACCATTTGTACTGTAATATAAAACTATTTGTTTCTAATCCTACTTTGTACTGCTGTAAGTCCTTCACTGTACTAATTAATACTACCTTATTCTGCACTACTCTTAATCAACTACTTTCCATAAAGCACTAGCCCTGATCTGAAATATTCACAACAGGGTATTTTATGTGTTCAAGTTAATACTACTATTTGTTGCTATCCCTATGCTGCAATATTTAAATTCTATTCTGTATGACAAGCTAAAATTAAAATGTATCACTAACTCAAAGGTTTGCTAGTAAAAAGTTTAAAATTTCATAGAACCAATTTACAGATATCTTAACAACTAAATGAAAAAATTCTAGTTCTTTACTACGAGATCATAAGTTCAACACATAATCTCATAATATTTACATCCACACTTAAATTCACCGACATATGATATAATACAAAAACCAAATCCACATCTAAAAGAATAATGGGTGCATTATAATTTTTACCATCTGAAACTGAAAGCCCAATTCAGTTTTTAATGATTATTTTTATATATGAAAAAAACAAAAACAAATACCATTCTTAGCCTTCTCATAAACTGATAACAGATCCATAGTACTTATTTCTTGCTTGTGAAAGTCATTAGCATCTATGAATTAGGTAATTAAAGAAAGTTTTTATATTTGTGCTTGTGAAACAGAGAATTTACAAGCAAGAAATGCTTATCAAATGTAATAAAACGTGTGTAAAAAGATCTATTTCTGTTCAACTTAAAATTTAATTCTTAAATAACAAAAAAAAATTATGTAAATATGAAGCTGCAAATTGACAGAGAAATTTTGAAAATAAAAACAAGAATTACCAGTAGTAACACTTCAGAAACAAAAAAATAAACTTCATAACACCAAAAACAAGTTGAAGTTCATAATTTAGTACTTATAAATCTTAATATATATCACTTGCTACTGATGGCTCAGTTTAATACAAAGGAATATTAACGAAAGAAAATAACTTATTCCTGCTTACTTCACTGAGTCATTCTTTTTAATTAAAATACCCAATGAAAATCATTAATTTCTATTTATTGTATCTCAATACTTAATTTGATCTCTAAGAAAAACCTAGAAATTCCATTACCCATGGCTACTGTCCTTTGTGTATTGACTTGCAGACTACATTAAATTCTTACATCAGAAATTCTAAGTTTTATGTCTTACTTTGAGTTGATTCATGAAGGCAGCTTCCTCTTCCAATGCTTTTTTAATGGCTTCTGGTTTTAAGCTATTAATTTCTTGAGTATCCGTACCACCAACAGTTCCAAAGGCATTGCTCGTTGAAGAGAGGGCAGAAACAGCACTCTTCAAATTGCTAGTGCCTCTGCAAATTCACAGACCAAAGAAAAGTATTTTCAGTGTAATATTAGCTGATGCTGTTGCAAATATTGAAAAAGAAACAGAAAATGTAAGAGTTTCTTAGGATTAGAAATTTGATGTTTTTACACACATATCTACTAAAAGTATTTCAAAATAGTTATATAATTTAACATTACACACTGTGAATAAAAGGGGTGTAAAATTCCCCCTCTATTGTGCAGAAATGTACAAGTATTCATACTATCCTCAGCAGTAGTGAGTTAATGCACTCAGCTTCCTGGACAGAAATGCCACATGACAAATGTGTGGAATCAGTTTTGACTGAAGGATACTACATGTGAAAGTTGTAACAAAACTCCATGTTTCAGGAAGAACTGTTTGGAAAATGCTGTAGAAAGTAAATGAAATTAGTACTGTTACAAGCAGTTACGGTAGAAAGCTCCAAATCTTCAAAAGTGAGGTTAAGTAATTCTGGGTATGATCTTTATGATATATGACAACTCAGTAGAGATATTTCCAATGACCTAGTTTTTATGTAAATGTTACCTCCAGAACAGTAAGATACACATTAGCATGAAGTGGCCTCATTGAATGTGTAGCTGCTCATAAGCCACTGCTCAGAAGAGATAAACAAATAGAAAGGCTGAAATGGACATCAGACTTTGTATAATGGAATGAGCAAAACTGGAAGATTGTGCTCTTTATAGATGAATCCAAATTAGTCTGGCAACAATCAACAATAGCTTGTTCAATAACAGAACAAAGAACAGTACCATGGTTAGCATACAATATCTACAGTGAAGCAAGCTAAGGGACCAATACAGATATGGCCTGCATCTCAGCCTTGATGGCATCCTGACTTAAACAGGTACAAGTACATTCTTATCCATCATATTATCCCCTCAGCAATAATATCTATAGCAAGAAGGTGATCCTAAGCATGCAGTAAATGTGGTGAAACACTACTTTGAGGGGAAAAAAATCAGGCTGAACCCTTAGGTACCCAAAGTGACATCCAGTTTGATTGAACTCTATTTATAGCATCCTTCTGCCTTCTTTTACACCTAAAGATAAAACTTAAAAAAAAAGCCTTTTATATGGCACCTTGTCAAATGCTTTATGAAAATCCAGATACACCATATCTACACTGTATAATTTAATATTCGTTTTTCTTTTGTATTTTCTGTGATAATGTACTGTAGTAAAGATATAAAGATAACTTAGGTACAATTATTCTTTGTTTGTAATACTTGTATGTGTATTGCTTGTGACATACCAACTTGCATTGTGCAAGGGCAGGTCATGTGGTTAAGATTTTTCAAAAAAAGCATCAATATACAGTGAAGTCACCATTTGTTTACAATAAATGAGAAGCGGTCTATGCAATTCCACTTCCAATTTGTAACTAGTTACATGAGCAGCTAATCACACAGTGTTTGATATGACCGAAATCAAGTTCGTGGACGTGTTAAAGGCACTGACAGACAACATGAAATTGAAGAAGAGCCACAATATTTAAATAGAAAAACAATTATAAAAAGCAGCACACAGTGCTGTATTCTTTAATGAAACTATTGGAAATGGAGGTAAGATAAGTATGACCAAGTAAGAGTGGTAAATTAAGTATACATTTCATCTGATAGTTTGATCCACAGACATGCAATATATATGTACTATACCATCAATAGTTTCTAAGGCAGTGTCTATGATTATAGACAATATATATGTACTATACCATCAACAGTTTCTAAGGCAGTGTCTATGATTATAGACAATATATATGTACTATACCATCAATTATTTCTAAGGCAGTGTCTATGATTATAGACAATATATATGTACTATACCATCAACAGTTTCTAAGGCAGTGTCTATGATTATAGACAATATATATGTACTATACCATCAATAATTTCTAAGGCAGTGTCTATGCACCTGGTTTGAGAGCAATGAAGGCATGTGTGAAATACATTTGATGGGAGGAAAAGTAGTAATCATTTAACTTCTGATCAGATCAAGCTACTAGCACTAATTGGTGTTCTGATCCACTCTTGTGGTGCCTCTTTTAGGAAAACCATTGTATTAGAAACAAAATTAGAGTTTTCTAGAAAAAAATTGCCCTATTTACACAAGCCTGAGGGCTGTTTCTGATGGAAAAAGTCTGAAAGCTAGCCCAAGTGGTTTTGCTTCCTGGTTCAGAACCCCAGATGGGTTGACATCATACTTTTCAACCAGTCACATGTACTTCCAATTGATCTTCCTTTCCCCAATTCCTGGGTGCCTATACACATCCATTTGTTTTAATAAAGTTTTAATGTCTTTTTTCTTCCCATATTAATACTTAATACATATATTACTTTATGTAATCAGAGCTGTGCAAGCTACCTCTTCAATAGAGTACCACTATTACTACTGCTACAGTAATACAAATAAAGCACCACTATATAGTTGTAAATATAGCAGCACTATCACTACTGCTACTTTTGAAACTGACATTTTTTCATGATAATTGTTTTGTCAATGGATAATGTAAGAATGAAAAATGCAAATTTATTGGTATATGGTAATACTATTTTACTACAATAACATAATACAGACTTCGCAGAACAGCCTATCCATATTTGTGAATAAGAGGAAAGCAGCTAACAAACATACAGCCTTCGATACATTCAATGATAGTACTTAAAGAACAAAACGTTAAAAAATAAATGAATATGATGACAATAATAATAATAAATGAGTTAATAAGTTCACAACAGCAACTGCATCACATAACACATTTTATTATTTTTTGTAAGCAAAATGCAGTGTAAATATAAATATAATAATATATAACATTATAATATATACATTATAATCTTGAGAAATAAGAATGTAATATACATTTGATATTAGTTACAGAAATATGAAAATAACTTAAGATTGATATTAGTTGCAGAAAGGGCAGAAATAGAACAGTAATTTACATTTTGGTGTATTAGTTGCAGAAAGTACAGAAACAGGAGAGTAATTTGTGATTGGTATTAGTTGCAGAAAGTAACTTATGATCGGTATTAGTTACAGAAAGTACAGAAACAGGAGAGTAATTTATTATTGGCATTAGTCACAGAAAGTACAGAAACAGGAGAGTATTTTATGATTGGTATTAGTTGCAGAAAGTACAGAAACAGGAGAGTATTTTATGATTGGTATAACTTGAAGAAAGTACAGAAATTAGAGAGTAGCTTACATTTAGCACGAGTTCGAGAAAGTGTAGTAATTTATGAATGATTTTACCTGGTTGCTGTAGCAGATAGAGAAGGTGCACCTTTCTTTCCTTCGAGTGCTTCTAAATGCTGTTCTAGAGCTTCAAGTAGGCTACCTGGAGCCTGAAAAATTACAAGAAACTATCAATAAGGAACTATCCTTCCAGTGTTTTCCCATTTGACCTTTTAAACCCTCACAATCTAACAAAACAGGACAAAATATTTTTTTAAATATTCAATTTCAACAAGTTAACACTTGGCAACTATGAAGAAATACTCCACTACAACAGGGTTCATACACTTTCTTACATGTGAAATTCCATGACTTTCCATAACCTTTCAAGCCAGAATTCCATGACTTTTGAACACAGTTTTACATGGTAGACCAAAAAATTTGATCCCAAAGCAAAGTGTATATACTGCACCATCTCTTCTTTTGCATCCCCCCCATTAACAACATCAAAATATTTACATTATGCATTATTTGTGGCATTTAGCTGATCAGTTTGTTTCTGAATGAGTTCTTCTTGAGACATCTTTGCTGTACGTCAGTAGCTGTTTGAAGTTGATTCAGCTTCCTCTGCAAACTTGTCTGCAGTGCAGTCTTAATTTACGAATTCTTGATGGCATTGAGCTGTTCATCAATTTGTTTCTGAATGATTTCTACTTTAGACATCTCCTCTACTGTACATACAGAGCTGTTAACACCCCTGTTAACATAGGAGACTGTTTGATTTTGATATACATGTCAAACTGTCAGTTGATTTAGCTTCCTCTGCAAACTTATCCACTGTGTCTTACTTTACGAATTCTTGATGACATTCAGCTGTTCATCAATTTGTTTCTGAATCACTTCTAACTGGGACATCTTCTCCTTTGCTGTACGTCGGAGGCTGTTTGATTTGGGTATACAAGTTAATCTGCCAGTTGACTCGGCTTCCTCTGCAAACTTGTCTGCTGATTCTTGAAGACTTTTGATATCTGCTTGCAGTCTAGACTTCTTAGCTTTCAGTTCATCTATCTCATCAAGCAGTCCTTTTCTTTTTCTTTCCTTTTCACGTTTCTGCTCATCAAGATACATATAGTATTTTTGCCTACTTGCTGAAGTGGCTAACATGAGCGACTTGTCGATAGTAATGTTCTGAATTCCTCCTACGTATTTGATATGATCATATATAGGCCTCAAAGATATTAGCTAGTGCCCTAGAAGATTGTCCTCCTCAACTTCGTTGTTGACGGAGAATCCTC